GGACACTATGCCTAGCAGTTACTCATGAGTGGGCCTCAGCAACACACTTATCTCTCTCCCTGATGCAGTTACAAACCACACCTGTAAAAATAATTAGTTTGAACTGGCTTTGTACTGGGGTCATAAAGATATTAGAAACACTAGACTACCTATACCAACTCCCTACCTCATTATCTGCATCCTGGACTCCTCATGTGTATCCTAGTAAAACATAGGTATACTCCCTGCATCTAGCTTGTCAAACAAGACATTGATTGGTGGTAGACTGGGCAATCCTCATTTGGCCCTGACTACTAGTTAATTTAGTAAGGTAGCAGACCTAAAAACCATATCCCTATAGCCCCTCCTTGGGCTTTTCCCAGTGAACTCTGGGTAAAATGCCTGCACAATAGATACAAAAAGTGCATGTTCCTTTAAGAACTGACCACTCCTTAACCACTCCCTAGTCCCTCCCTGAATCACCTAGTTAGCATATTTGGCACCTGTTTTACTATAATTTATCCTATATAAACTTTAACTAAACCCCTCTAAAGTTGCAGGTTACTTAAGGGCTCTTGCCTGCTGCAAAGCGTAACAATAAATCTTTGCCAACCTGATTTAAAGAATGCGTGAGTCTGTGAATTCATTCCAGATGACCCTGTCCTGTACTCCAGTCTTTGAGGGGTCTCTGACCAGAATACCTCCTCTGCTCCAACTGCTATCCTCCCTGGCTTCCTTAAAGTCCCAACTAAAATCCTGCTTTCTATGGGAAACCTTCCCTACATCCTCAGTTCCAGTGGGAATTAATTTATTGTGTTAATTATTTCCTATTTATCCTGTATATAGCTTGTTTGTATGTATTTGCATGATGGCTCCCCCATTACAATGTAAGCTCTTTGAGGGCAGGAACTGACAGTTTCTTTGCCTCTTTTTTATCCCCAACGATTAGCACAGTGCCTGGCACATAATAGGTATTTAATAAATGTTTACTGATTGAGGAATTGATTGAAGGAAGCTTTAATGACTGTTGCCGCTAAGATAAAATATATAACCTTCCCATTTGGCTTTTAAAGCCCTTCACAAACTGTTTTAAACTGCCTTTCCAAGCTGATCTATTCCTCTTCTTCATACTATCTGCATTCCAACCAAGCTACTCTCCATAGACATCCCCTTTCACCAGGTCTCTATAGGCTATCCCCACCTCACCACCCACAATTGCTCTTTCTTCTCATTTCTGCCTCTTGGAATCTCTACCTTCCTTCAAGCCTCAGCCCAAATGACACCTTCCACCAAAAGCCTTTCCTGATCCCCTCGACTGTTAGTGCCTTTCTCCTTGCCACATCCCTTTGTCTTTATCAGTATATATCTAGTACCTGTTTGGACATTGAAAGCTGTCCGGGGATCTAGGAAGACCTGAGTTCAAGACCTGCCTCTTACACAGAGTGGCCTCTCTTGGTGCTCCAAGTGGCTGCTAAAGGAGGTGCTTCCTTAACTTAGCAAATCCCGGGCTAGCCACTATCTTTAGCTACGTTAAATTGTATTCCTAGAGATTGTAAATTCCTTGAGGGCAGGTACTGTTTCCTTTTTAAGGTCTTTGTTTCCTAGCACTTTACTAAAAGCTTCCGGAATCAACTGGAGACCAAAACCGAATCTCTGCATACTTAAGCTCCAAATCCACTCACCTTTATGTCTTCCTTGGTGAGCCGAGGCCAGGCTACCTTCTCCTTCCATTTTCTTACAAAGCAAGTGATCGAGCGGCTTGAACGTTTATCCTGAGAATCCTAGGGGACTGGCAGAGGGCTTCATTGAGGTGGTTGGAGTGGAACTTCTTTGTCCTAAAATGGAGTCTCCCCCTCCCCTTTCTGTCATTCTCCATGCTCCCCAACCCCCTTTACCTTGGAGTTCACCTTGGCATAAAACTCAATCTCATTGTACATCTCCACACCGTCTGCATTCTTGCAGCTGGGGAGACAGAGAAACGGGTAGGGAGTGGGAGCTGACCTGAATGAGAAGAAAGACCCTGTGGGAGAGGCCCTGTCCCAAAGTCAGGAGTGGCCCTTACCTGAAAACAATCCGGTGGTCCTCAAGAAGCACCTGGACGTCAGTGCTGTCCTCTACACAAAACTCCATGAACACGAACTTGGGACGGTCATACCACAGAGTCCGGGCATGCTGTCTGGAGAGGAGAAGGGGAGGGGACAGGCATGAGGAGGGAGGATGAGGGAGATCTGAATCACACCGTCCAGAAAGGAGAGCAAATGGGAGGGGTCAAATTGTGGGAACCCCAGAACGTAGAGGTTTCAGGGAGATCCTCTTCTTGTAACCGCACATCCTCCTACCCCCACGTTCCAATCTCGGGGGTCTTGGGCTCAGTGAGACCAGACCAGCTAGAGGTGCCGAATCCTGGGGTTCTGGACTCCCCTGGAACATCCAGAGGGGCCCCAGAGACACTTGCGGAAGGCAAGAATCTGAAGAGAACCTGGCCGGGTGGGCAGGGGACACTCACCGTGCCATAGCGCTTCTGGCTTCGTATTTTGGGCTTCTGAATGCAACCCCTTCCCCCTCTCCCCTGCTATCTTTAGAGCCAGGTGCCGCCCCCAACAGCTGGTGTTCCTTATATGGCTATAAGAAGGGCAGGCAAGGGACTACACGGTCCAGACGCCTACGGGCTAGGGGTTTCAGATGGGAATAGAAAGAACTAATCCTTTCTGCCCTTTCTGGTCTGAAGGCAATCCTTCTAGAGCCATGTGCAGGAATAGACTGGCTGCACAAGGGTCTCTTTCCCGCCCCCTCCCACACAGCTCCATCCGGAATTCACCAAGCATTTATTTTCTAAGATAAATTTTTATTAATATATTTTCTTTTAAAATCGCCTACATTTCCCATGGTATCTTTCTTTCCTCCCCCAGAAAGTAATCCCTAATAATGATTTTTTTAAAAAGGAACGAAAATAAGTTCCGCAGAATTAATGTATCAAAAAATTTAATGTTATGTGCAATTATCATTATATACGCCCACAGACCCCCCCCCTTCTGCAAAGCACGTTGGAAGGGATGGTAGATGTGTTTTCATGGGTTTTTTTTCTTTTGGGGAGAGGAGGGGAGAGGAGGGGAGGGGAGGAGAGGGAGAGTGTACATTCTAGGATATTGGGATATACAGTCTGTGTAAAGGCTCGGAGGAAGG